TATTATTATTATTGCTATTATTATTATTATTGTTATCTCTATTGCCAACAATAATATTAATATGTATACTGCTATTACAAAATATTATTACTACTACTACAAATAATAATGCAAATAATAATGTTATTTATTATTTTTATTATAATTTATTATAATACATATTTATTACAATATATAAATGTATTATAAGAAATATAATAAAATTGTACAATATAAATTTATTATAATTTATTAATATCACTCATATTATTATCATACGTTCAGATATAAAAACAATAACATTTATGATTAATAGTAATAATTATTGTTAGTGCCAGTAGTAATATTGTACTACAATTTCAATAACTATTACTACAACTACTTGAATTTGATTACAACTACACCCATCACTACAACAACAACAACAACTTCTGCTGCTGGTATTTCAAAGGTTCTTATTACATATTTTATTGCCATGTCTTTTATTAGGAATGAGTGCAGACCAGTATTACTACTAAACTACTGCTACTGTTATTGTTGCTGTTCTTGTTGTTGTTTCTCACATCTTTTTGTGCAGAAGTTCTTGTGTTCTAACTCTTCTTCGTTTGTTGTCTTCCTCTCTGTCCTTGTTCACAGGCGGCAGGACAACCGTATGAACAATATGCCAAGATGATTTTTATGGAACTAAATGACGCTTGGTCAGAATTTGAAAGTCAAGGACAGAAACCTCTGTACTGAACAAAACAGACCGTGGGAGTAAATGAACTATAGGAGAAAAATGAGAGGGAGAAAAAAACAAAACTGGATTTTGTCAACATCCAAGCAAGTTGCCACCTCCACAAACAGCCACACACCCACACACACTGACAATATCTGCCTTTATACCTGTGCTTTGACCTGAGCTTTCTCCTCTGTTGCTGCCTCACACACACTTAAAAAAAAATACAATTGATTTAGGCTGGAATGGTGGCTGAAGACTGCACAATGTCAGTGCTCAGACTCACTGACGATCCCCGTAGATCTTCTGACCCTGTACGTACTGTATGTGGTGTTAGTGTCCTTCCTTGTTGAGTGTCGTTACAGAACTATCAATCAAACCTGAGTCACCGGGACGACTGGGGAAAACAGAGAGGTTTGATTGTGAGGAGACGTGAGGAGATAGGAGAAAAACACATCAGGGAGTCAAATGAAGGAGTTCTTTTTTTTATCAGTTGTTTTTTATGTTTCCTGGAAGGAGTTTGAGATTCAAAGTGCAACATTGTCATCAGGTAACCACTGCACTTTTCCTGTGTGAAATGCTTGTGGTGTATCAGAGAGCCTAATAACAGCAGCGTCACTACAACAGGTCAGTTTTCCACTGTCTGGTAAAAGGAATGGTGAGGTAATTTTTTTTTTTTTTTTTAGAAACAAAGTTTTGAGGAGACAAAATATTGGTTTTGCTTCATGAAAAAATAAGTTTCGTTGAAGTCTTAACTCTGCTCATAGCACAGTAACTTATTTTTCAAGTGAAGCTGTGTAAAAGCACAAACCGACGGTTTAACTCAGTGCAGCTTTGACAAAAATAATTCAATAATTACCTTTTTTATGGATGGTAGGTCTTGCAATAAACTGAGAAGACTCTTAATCTTATTATGTCATTTTAGCAAGTTTTCACCTTCATAACAAACAAAAAATGATGGTGTAAGAAGTTAAGAGCCAACTGGAGGAGGATTTTAAAATATTTTGAGAGGCTTCAATGTCCTTCATTGAAATTCAGTTGTTAAATTTGAAAACTTGAAATTAGTAATCAGTCTTGGAATTCCAATCAAATTCCAAATTTCTCAGTACAATTTAAGAACTTAATTAGGAGTTTTACACAAATAAAAAAACATATAATATAATTATTATAGTGATGTTTGTAATTTTAAGTTTTATATAAATTATATTTCCCCCCCACAAGATTTAAAGTTAACCTTTTTCAAAACTATGTTTTTCTTTTGAGAGCAAAATTTATTATTTCTCTGTATTTTTATTTTATTAAAGGTTTTATTTTAAAAAAAAAGTTAAAACCAGAACCATTACACTTTCCCTTGTGTTTCCAATCTTTCAGTTTTACACAGATGTAAGTTATTTTGCACACATCTTTCAGGTAGGATTCTCATTGCATATCAATACTACAGTAAGTATTTATTTTAAAGTACATTTATATTAGATTTATATTTACAAATATAAATCTCTGCAGTTAAAATGAAGTTCATCACCAGAGCAAAATGTGTTCAAATTCATCACATACAAAAGAATAAAATCTTTGTTTTTGTTATTGTTCTGAAGTATGAAATGTTTATTTTTCTGTCTGTCTTTAGTTCTTTTATTACCAAGGTGGAAAAAGTGAGTCATTGATTTGAATGCAGACAAAGACTTCAGGAAATTGTGTGTTTTGACTGATTTTGGTTCTTTTCAGCAGACTCCAGGTCACATGGGAAAAACACTTGACTTGATTCTTCTGATTAACTTTCCAGACACAGTGAGAGTTTGTAGAGATGTTGGTCTGTCCTTCATTTATACTCAGTAACTCCATGTGAAATGTGACCAATGACTGACTCGTCCAGCTGCAGGCTGTGTTCAAGGCTGAGCTCTGTACTGTAAACACTGGATGTGTGTGTTATGTTGTGGTACGTATGAATGTGTCCTGATTACATGTAGGCTACATGTGTTTGCCTGTATGCAGTTCAAGTATTAATGAATAGTGTAAAAAAAAGAAAAGACTAAAGGACACACTGGTTACAGGATGTAAATAATGATCAGGTGCATTGCACATAATAAATATTAACGAGAAGAAAAACACCTAGCATGTTCGTCATTGTATATACAGTACTTTAGTTTCAGAAGGGGCCCAAATAGGAAACTGCAAACGTTGCCTTCATATTTCTAATATTTACGTGTCATTGTTTTAGGTTAATTTGGAACAGTTTTTGTTGCCATTTATTTGCTAATAACAATGGTTGGAAAGTGTCATTGTTTTAGGATTTGGAACAGTTTTTATTGCCATTTATTTGCTAATAACAATGGTTGGCCATGGCTAACTTGGCTATCGTTGTTGCTAACTTCTCTCTTCTTTCGTGAACTCTTTACTACCTTTTAGCTATCTAAGCTATTCTATAATATTACGTACCAAGACGCGGACATATCCCACTAGTAAGTAAACGTTCAGCCTAAGTCTTTTAGCTGTTTGTAGCTTTATGTTATTGGTTGTGCTAGGATTTTTGACCGATTTAACCGATGTATTGTATAAAAAACGACTAGCTATTAGCTTTAGCTTCTAAAGGACGAAATAGTTCTATCCAAACTACACGTACACATTTAAAAACATGACTTTAATAGACTAAACTAGTTACAAACAAATAATGTTACTTGTTTTTAACGAACTGGTATTGATAATTCAACTGTCGTACATTAAACAATATTACAGCTGTATTTCCCTTTTTGAACACTGGAGGGCAGAAGCATACAAAGCGTGACATTTCTCTGATTTAATGCTTGGACGAGTTCAAGTTTATTGCTTTATTGTTGGACGTCAGTGAAATGCCCCAATACCCTCGGATGTACAGTATATATAGTTTAAATTTTGAAGTGAGATGTACTTTTGCTCTTTAAAATGTTGTCTGTAAAAAGCCCAAGCGGTTGTTTATTGATACATTAACAAAAGGAAAGAATAAATTGATGAGCCCATCTGTCTGCAGAACACCTGACCTGTGATTAGTATCAGACAGACAGATGGTAAAACAGTTTTTAACCAGATGAATAATAAATGTATGACGCTTGTTGTTTATAGGGACGTTGCTTGGTAAAAAAAAAAGAAGAACTTTATTTTGTATTTATTGTTTATTTTATTTGATATTTTTAACAACTTCTTTCTATCCTCTATGACAGTGTTTATCAGCCGCAGCAGCTCCACCGGTGATGAGATTAAACACACTTCCTGCTGTAATCTCCTGTCGCCAACCGTTGATGTGAGTCGAACTTCACATGAATGAAAAACAATCAGACACATGTTTTATTCTTAAAAGGTACGATTACTGTTTTTTTATATACATATAAATTATGTCTTCACAAGTTATTAGGTAAAATGTTGTGTGTATGATGTGTATTTTTACTGGATTTCCCAACAAGAGCTGGTATGTTATCGGTCAAGTAGGACGTTGTTCAAACTTCCTATAGACTTCTGGGGAAAATGGAATTTCTCCCAAAATATTTAATCTCATTTACTTTTCTGATGCTGATTTTTTAGTGTGAGTATTTATCACAGTCTGTATTACTGTAAGACATCATCAGTAAATGTAATTTTAATTCCAGATATATATATATATGAATAATTCAACCTACAAAAGGATTAGCATGAATGGAGACCGGATTTAAAATTCATCCAATCATCATAAATATCCCTCTTTTAATTGAATTCTTATAATTAGCGTTAATGGAACAGGTGAGCAGAGACCATAAATTGTATTTTATTGTTCCTGTCCTCCATCTGTGATAATGATCCACATACAACAGCACTATAGTCTAGTGTGCACGCATCAAACTCAGGCCTGGGGGCCAGTTTTAAATTTTGGCCCACTGTGAATTTGAGTTTGACACCCTGATCTAGTGATTAACATGCAGCCGCTACAGGCTCGTACGTGTCACTGCAGGAATATCCTGAAGGCTTCTGTCAGTGGGCTCTTTGTGAGTAACGTCAGTGGTCACATGTCGAAGTTGGGGGAGAAGTTTTTGCATTTAAAAACCGGCATCAACCAAACAGACATCTGTGATCATTTCAGTGATGGATTTTCATTACCGTTTGTGGGTTATTAAAGTTTGCTGCTGCTGTTTCAGCTCTGATTCATCCGCCTGACGTGTGAACTGTGAGATAAAACCACTTCCAAATTGCTTACGTTCTTCACCATTTGCTCAGTTCTCCCAGTCGTCATCTGCAGCTCACCTGCACTGCGCTCGCAGGGACATTTTCTTAATTGTTCTACCACGTGTAATGCAATCAGAGTGAAAGAATTTATGTGTGTGTGTGTGCAAGACAATAGGAATGCATATAGCATGCCAAGACTGACACGTCCCTGGCAGGAGCTGCAGATTTGAAAAAATATTTGAGGGTCCAAGGTACAGTGTCCTCACAGATTCACTATTCAGATTGAGGGGTTAATGTTTTCACTTCAGCCTCAGCTGCCATGCAAGCGACTCTGCTGCAACCAGCACACTTTTGTTAACTTTACTGGAAGGTTAAAAATAGTGTCCTGTCTTCTGGCCAGGTTGCTATACTGCCACGGGTGAAATGTAAGTACAGCTGCGATGGGGGAAAATAATGGGACATATTAATAACATTTACAGGCATTTTAAAGCTGCTCCAGAATAGTCTGGCTGTTGTTGGGTGTTTTCTTTTCCATTTGTATTTAAAGCTTTTATGTTGCTCCTTGTCTTGTGGGACTGATCTGACTGTCAGTGTCACTGACTCATCATGGTTTGGAGCAGCTGCTGCTGCACAAGGTCTGCTTTAAAACCTATTGTGTGAAGTTGCATCAGTTAATGTGATGAAAGAACAGTGAAGGAGAAACAATTCATTCCTAAAGTCATGGCTAAAACCGCTTTCATCAAAATAAAGAAATGAATGACTGAAGTGACTGTGGTGGTTCACATCTGTGGACTGGACCACAATATTTATAATGAACTTAACTCACAGTGATGGCCCACTTTACAAACATAATCCCAATTTTGCACGTTTTCTGCACCACAATCTAATCACATACAAACGCACCATTAATGTCAGATAACACGGGGAAGACTATGTTTCTACTAAGTTTCCCAAAAAACTAATGAAACTGCAGTATTTCAATGGTCATTTTGGCCTTTGAAAAAAAACCAAAACATGTGGCAGTGATATAACTCATGTTAAATAATAATTGGTCAAACAAATAAATAAAAAGGCCTACCATGTCTTAAAGTCAAACACATTGTAAAGTTCAGACAAAAAAAGAAATTGAATTAAATCATCTTTAAATTAAGTCCCTCAAGCACAATCCAAACAGTAAAAAAAACATGATATATATTTATTATCACAAAAATAAAATACTCTAATTGAGTACATTTATTTTTATTAATTAGTCCCTGGCCACACAAATTGTGTCAAAGGTCAACAAATGACCGAGTCTTTGGACACGGCTGCTGATGCTTCATGTTCTGTGTTATACTCTACACTGGATTATTGAACAATGCATCCCATTATAAAGTCCTGTTGCCTCACTGACCAACATCAGTGATTTTGAAGTTGATTTGCCCCCCAGAGGTTTTTTTGTGGGACCTTCACAGTCAGGGGGGTCGTGGCAGGGGGCTGCTGTAAATGGTGTAACATTGCAACCCAGTAGCAGCTCTTGGCTGTAGTGCGTCAGAGGAATTATGGGAACCAAATATCCTTTGTTACATAGTGTGTGGTGCACACACACACATAAACACTCATAGTAACCCCTTTGTATCTCAACTGCAGGGGAAAGTTGGAGGTGACCACTGTAACAAAGTCTGCTTGTTACTGCGTACTGGTTTTCTCTGAGGTTCTGTGTACACACAGACCAAAATACTCCTCCGGTCCTTGAGTATTTGTGCACAAATACACCTGTTCACACAGCAATATGTGCACGCCGGCAGAGTAATTCACAATCACTGTTTTGATTGGCTTTGATAGACAGCAAGTCAATCGATTAAAAGATCAGAATAATCACAGTTGTGAATCAATCAAACTGTAATTGATCATGATTAATCAAGGTTATTTGTCTTACCTTCATATGACGCAATACTTTACCCTGAGCAGGAAGAGTCGAGAGCTTTGGTCTTAGGTATCGGAGCAGACAGATGGCTATTGTTTGAGATTCCATATTCCGCATAAACACAGTTTTCTTTGCGGCATTATGTGCCACTTCTCCCACTGTACTTTTTCCCATTTGCCTCTAATCTGAACTGCTCTGGCGCCATCCAATGGAGGTGCGCCTCACTCTTTAAAAACCAGTGTTTTGGAGTCTTTAGATTATGTTCCTTTTCTAGCTTTCTTCAAATGTTTTTTTTTATATCTTCTACGTGTGACAATTTTGTTCTTTTCTTGTTGGATTAGTTTTAATTTTATGATAAAACTCAGCTCAGTTCCTGACAAATGAAAATGTTTGTTTATAAAAGAAATTCTGTGATGTTTATAATAGCCCTCCTACCCCCGACCCAGCAGATGTACGCTCGCCTCTCACTCTGGCCTCTGTGTGAATCCTGACACCCTGGTTCAAAAATAGCCCCTCAAGCCCAGAGACACTGTGCTCCACATAAAACTGTTTGTGTAGAAATCTAAAATGTGTGTGTCCTGTCTGTCTGTCTGTCCAACAGTTCTGCTCGGACTGTACTCTTCACTCCACACTTACTGAGATCTGTCAACGTGGTTGAGCTGGTAAGTTGCTTTTCACTATTTAGTCATGGAAAAGTACTGCATGCTAATTGTTTTAATCATGAATCAAGAGTCTTGTTTTGTTTGCTGGTTTTCTCAGGAGAACTAACTGGCATCAATTATTGTCTTGGCCTTGCTTTTCCTTTTTTTTTTCTCTCGATGATGAAACACCAGTTTTCCTTCTCTCGGCCGACTTTCATGTCTCACTCTCTTTTCTTTTAGCTTTTTACATTGTGTCAAAGAAAAATAATTATTGCCTTACAATGACTCACTTTGCTGCCAGTCATGAACTAAATTGTGCCTCCACCTTTTTTTTAATTGTTTTCTAAAACCTACTTTGATAAAACAGAGACATCAGTGTTGTTGTCACAGCA